CTACATTTTCTCAATTTATAGATATGACTTTCTCAACTTCCCATTCTAAATATTATTGTAAGCTGCAGTTAGAAATCAGAGAGCACTGCACAAACTAGGTAAGAAACCATACAATTTCTCAAGAGACAATTCTAAATTGCAGGGAATAAGATTGTTCAACTTTCTCTTGCAACCCACAGCTAAAACAAATATTAAGTGGTATTTAGGTCAAGTGACATAATGTTGAAGAAAATTCTCCACAGCATTCAGAGTTATGTGAATACATGTTGGGGAAGAGGGTTGGGCCCCAAAATGTTTTACAATAAGCATTCTACAAAGAAGTAACCCACTTTGAAAAATCACTGCATGAAGTTTAAACAAAAATATTGGAATATTGCTTCCTGTCTCTGATGGGAATTTAACAAGAAAGATGTTGAGCTCATAAAGAATAGCAAAACTTAGAATAAGATACAGCAAAATTGTGGAAAAAAACAGTATGTAATGATATAAAGCCAGATTTGTAACTTTCCCTTTGAAAATCTACACTTTACAATTTGCTGGAAACAAGTGATTTTTTGGAGGAGGTTTTAAGAGGTGAAAAAGGTCCTTAAGCCTAAAACATCAGTTTAATTTCTTAAATCCCAGCCTCAGCTTTATTACAAATGCAATAAAGGGCCAATCTTTTTGCTCTACCAAGTCTGGAAGAATTATAGATACCCTGAAAGCGAAGCTGATACTCACCTCCTTCTCATCTCTTGTACCCACCTCCATTTCTCCTGCTGTGTAATGCCATAATTCCCAAACTTATTACTTCTAGTTATATGTAGATTTTAATAGTAATGCAATTTTCTCTTGACAAAATCACGAACATTGCTAATGTGTCTCAAATATAAGAAAAACTGCTGACATGCTGAAAAGCTAAAAAATGCAGGTGTTTCATTCCTCTCTCTTTGGTGAAGACTTCAATCATTCAAAATTTCATAAGACTTTCACTTCTGAAATAGAAAATCTGCTACAGATACTTTATGGCTCATCTTGGAAACATATGAAACATTAATCATTTCCTGCAAGAATTCCAAAATTATCCCCTTGTGACTACTTAACATAGCCAGTCCACCAACCTTTATGAAGCAAAGTTGACTTAGTTGTTATTTATTCCACTCTCTCTTCAGCTTTAAATTTTGTTATTGGGGTATGGAAAGACACTACATTTCCTAAGCATACATCTTATCTTTTTTCACTGAGCTGGCAAAAGTGGCCCAGAAGATGACATGTCCTGTGGTAACCCCCTTTCTTGTTTAACTTTATGTTCCCCTGAAGCCAGATTAGTCCGCACCCTGCTAGCCTAGAAAAATGATAAAAGCTATCCTTTTCCTCTTCCAGCATTTGGGATGGATGACCTTTAAGAACATATAGAACAGAGGTTCCCAAACTCTTCAGTTCATCAACTCTTTCATGAAGTCTCAGATTGTCCATCAAGCTCCAAATATTTATTCTATGAAAATAATTTAATAATTTAATAAATACTATGTTAATAGTAGTATTAAACAGGAGTAATGGTGGTGCAGTGATTAGAATGCAGTACTGCAGGCTAATTCTGCTCACTGCCAGGAGTTCGATCCCGACCGGCTCAAGGTTGACTCAGCCTTCCGTCCTTCGGAAATTGGTAAAATGAGGACCCAGATTGTTGGGGCTAATATGCTGCCTTTGAGAGGTCTGTGAAGCACTATAAAGTGGTATGTATGTCTAAGGGCTATTGATATTGCTTTCTTGGATAGCCTTATTGACTTGGGAAATAAATATGAGCCATGTTGAAGAATCCTGATATAGAAGAATGTTATGCTGTTATTGTTTTATGGTCTGGTGAAATAGAGAGCATATACTTCTTGGTAATAAATTAAAATAACAGAAAAATTATTGTATTTTCCTAGAAAGACGACCAGGAAGGGGTCATGTCAAATTGCATGATAGCCTATAATGGATTTATAATTCTGGTTGATAAGCAACTTAGCCATTCTGGGTTAATTCTTATTCAGACCTGGGCATTTTATGGCACAAGAGCCACATCTGGTCCATGGGCAGTCCCAGTCATGCCCTCAGCAATGTTGGTGGTGGGGCATTGGCAGCAGGACATTGGCAGCAGGGGACGTGGCATTGGTGCAGCACAGACAGGGGGGCATTGTTGGCAGAGGGGGACAGAGGTGCAGTTGCATTAATGGAGGCAGTGCAGCAGCAGAGGAGACACAGCAACAATAGCAGCCCTCCACAATAGTCTCTTTTTCTTATGTGATGCCTTGGAAAAATTAATTGCCCAGCCCTGCTCTTCTTAATACTGAGATGAGATACTACCAGGGAATTTCAGGATTATAGCCTAGACTAGGAAATAGAAAAATCAGTCTAGAAGGCATCTCTGAATCACTTCATTATTGTTACTGAAAAGTTCTCTGGCTGTGTTCATGACATTATAAAGGTAATCCTTGTTTAGCAACTATGATTGGGATTGGCAACTTGGTCATTAAGTGTTTTTATTTTAGTTTTCCTTGTTTTACAGACCTGCAAAGATCATAAATGTGATGACTGTTTTCAAATGGTTTAGTGACAAATCAGTCACTAAATGAGGAGTACTTGCACTTGACTCAAAAGTGTCTTTATCGTTAAACATGCTTAGGGTTATTCTGCACATTTCAATTTGCCAATTTAGCTATAGTCCTCTATATTACTACATTTTAAACGTAAGCATTTCTCCTGCCTTTTTGCTGAAATTATACCTCTGTTTTACTGTTTTTCCCTTTTTGTAATCTACTAAGCACAGCTGATTGGAGTTACCAAATTCTCATCTGTAGTAGTGTTTTTTTGGATATTGAAATTTTACAATCCTTCCCCAAAGGAACTCTAAGCCACATGAGACAATGAAATTCATATTCTTTCATGCCAAGATTTTGATAATTTAAGTATTATCAGTGTTGAGTCCTTGGCGAAAAGCAGACACGAGAAGCAGTTGTAGTTCTCAGGTTTCTTTTTATTCTGTGTTCAGCTTACAGGTGAAGGCTTCAGCAACGCCCCAAAGCTCCCAGCCTCTTATATAGGCAATTCCCGGGTCAATGTGTTACTTTTCCCGCGCCAGCACCCGCGCATGCGCACAGGCGCTGGCGACAGCCTGTCTGGTCCCGGGCAGCTTGCACCTGCCCGGGACTGCCTGCAAACGCCCCGAGCCCGTTTGCAAGGCTCGGGACATAACAATCAGCATATTGCAGAGTGGTCATTATGCCAAAAAAGGTTTTTCTGGTTAAAAACCTGATAGCATTGGCCTGGATAAAAAAGCAAATTCAACACTATGTACAATTGCTTCCTACAATTCCGTACATTAGCTGGATTTTAATTTTGTTTTACACGTACCACATTATATCATTTAATTTTTAAATTTGCCTCAAAGTACTTACTTCTGAATAAACATACAGAGATTTCCATAACAAATGTGTAAATTCATCCACATTAATTTTCATATCATATGCTCAAATAGACCTGAGTACTTGATCTGGACTGCCAGTACTACAAACAACTACTAGATGACAGCATTGAGCGAAAACTGCTGCTGTCTATTGATTATTCAGATTTTTGCAGCCAGATACGGTACCTCTAAATATGGTTAATAGTTAGGGCTCAAGAACACCATGCTGTTGCAATTTTCCATCTTTCTTACAATGTGGTATTTAGTGATAGGTGGTAGATTTTGACACTCTGGATGTTTTAATTTTTTAAAAAACTATTATCTTCAACAGCGCTTGAAATAGAATGCATTATAGAAAGTTAGCTCTATGCAGCAGTTATTTTAATATAGCTGCAGCTTTTGTTCAGTAGAATAAGTCATCTGCCATCAACAAATGATTTTCCCCTTTAATTTAGAGAGATCCAAATATCTTATATTAACTATGCAATTTTGAGGAGGAAAAGTTGAAAACCTTCTTGCTCTTTTGAAAAAAAAACCCTCCTATTTAATCCATTTACAGAAATATAAAGATGCAATGTTTTTGTGATTAATATTAATAGCTTTTCAGTTTCTTGGATTCATGAATAGATGGCAACATTGGAAAAGCATAGTTAGCAATGCATTTTAATGATAAAGCTTATGTTTTATTCAGGGTGTATAGAAACAGAAATGCCCTTTCTTTAAAAAATAGAAAACCACTGGATACATTTTAGCACTAATGGCTAATCAAGTTTTTCAACCACAGTAAGAGTTCTATATTTATTGTCATTAAAATGCACCACACATCTTTGATGAAAGCCACAGGTATCAAATCAGAAGTATAGATCATCATTATTGGAGGCTATAAAATGTAGGCCTAATTATCAACTTTGTAGGCAAAACATCAACAATCTTCAGAACTTAAATCAAGGTTTTCAAACAAAACAGTTAAACCAATTTGTCAAAATTTAAAGCTGCCTAGCAGTCTTCTGCTAGAGGGTAGATTCACTCTGCAGTCAACTGCTCAAGTTAGCTGTCATGATTTAGGCCACGCTGATTTATTTCCGTGATACTTCACGTTTCTCATTTAAAGGTTTAAAGATTGTTAAACTAACTTTAAAAATGAAGCTACTGATTTGGGCTGCAAAAATTTCAAATAACTGCTAAGGGGCTCAAAAGAAGGAGGAATTTTCTGTAACTTTTCCCTTTTATCTAGTGACCCTCTAGAGCAGGGGTAGGCAACATTGGCTCTTTTATGACTTGTGGACTTCAACTCCCAGCATGGCTGGCTGAGGAATTCTGAGAGTTGAAGTCCATAAAAGAGTCATAAAAAAAGTCATAAAAGAGCCAAGGTTGCCTACTCCACCTCTAGATATTTGTAACCTAGAAAGAATGATCCATTCTTAGCTCTCTGATATGTATGCATCCTTTTCTCTATTATTACAAAAAGGGTGCTAGAGTTATTTCCAGATTCTGAATAGTTAATACAATTTACTTAGCTCCATTATTAGAAGCAAACCTCACCATCAGCATAGACACGAAGATGCAGTGGACCTTTTTTTTTTTTGTTCTGAAAAACATATGCCTTGTGTTCTAATTAGAGATCTGGTAATTACTTACATGCATGATCAGTACAGTACTTCCAAAAATGATAACTGAGTGCGTGCAGTGTTTTAATCAGAGAAATTAGCATTTGTATAATGACAAAATAGTAATTTGCTGTAATATGTTTAACACTGAAGGTCAAGATGAACTATTCATTCATTGTTTATCTGCCCTGATATACAACAAATAAAGATATTAGTGAAATATTGTTAAACTCAAGGTAGAATTCTTAAAGCCAGATCTACTTTATGTAACTTGAGTGCTTGTCATAGCTGAATATTTGTCATAATAAAGCATGGCAATTCATATTTGAGAACTACTCAAGCTCTTGTAAAATCAATAGGTGTATACTGAAAAAGTAGGATGTTAAGTTGAAATTAAGTTTGAATACTACAATTTTCTTTCTTGGTAATTTTTTTTTCATTTGTCACTCAGAATAAACAATATTTTGCTAAACAGCAATCACATTCCACTCACTTTGACATTTCTGAAAAACAGTATAGCTGTCAGATAAATCCTTATAGTTACACATTAACTGAGATATTAACTTTTAAAGGAATTCTTTATATAGCAGTTGGTGAGCATGAACTCTAATTCATATAATGCCAAGAAATTCAAAGAAATGTTTTGTTTCTTTTCCAGTTTTAAAAAAGATGCAATCAATACCCTATGCTTGCAAAATCTTACTCATGAAACAAACTACCAGTAAAATCTATTTAAAATATGGAATTTGAAAATTGAATTGGTGAAGACAATGTTGAAGAAACAATTTGCTGGCTTTGAATTTCATCATGGTGAGTAGAGTCTGGATCATCTTCCAAGCACGTCTCAAAGATTGTCAATAAAATGCTTTGCTTCTGAAAGAAATTGGAAGGGAAAAGAAATTAAGCCCCAGTATAAAGATTGAAAAACAGGTTAAGTGCTTTCTGAATCCTAGAAAGCATTTCTTGGACTCAATAACAAGTCATAAATTGTTGAGAGGTGGCCTTCAAAAGAATAGTGGTAGTAATCAGGGTCTGGCTCATTAGACAATTAATAATGCATGCTGTAATTTTCAACACCTAAAGGTTAAATTTTCCTAATTCATACTTAATCCTCTGATTAAAATCAATAGGGCGTACAAGGGCTGAAATATGACTGCACCAGGTGTCTGCAACTCAGGGTATTTCAGGAGATTAAATTTAGCAATTTTAAATTTAGCCATTCACTATCTCAAACCCCTGTTTAAAATTGCAGTGTAGACACTAGAAAACATGGCAGTCCTAAATGATGTTCTGGTATATTCACCTGTTACCTTCAAACTTGCCAATTGCTCCAGGCTGCAGCTGGAATACTTGGTCCAAGTTTGGTTGCCAATACAAATCAATACAAGAATATCGAGGAATTGGAAAGAATGCAGAGAAGAGGAACAAAAAATAAGAATAGGACAACACAAGAGGAATAAAGGGTACCATGTACCTCACAAATGGGAAAGAAACCTGGAAGAATTTCAGAGACATCAACATAACCCCTTCCTTCCCCTTTTCTTCTCTGTTTTCCCCTCAGTTTAAGACAGCAGATCACACCAATATGGGAAGAAGATATTTTCAGCACTTGGATATTGGTATACTGTATATGTTGAGAAGGGAGACTGCAGTATATGGGAGAGAGTTGGAGAAGAGGTGTCTCAGGGGACTTTATTTAAGTCCCATAAATAAATATTTATTTATTTATTTATGGGACTTATATACCGCTTTAAGTGCAAGCGCTCTCTAAGCGGTGTACACCAATAAGCAATGTATATATATATATTTACATTGCCCCCAACAATCTGGGTCCTCATTTTACCTACCCCAGAAGGATGGAAGGCTGAGTCAACCTTGAGCCGGTGAGATTTGAACAGTCAGCTAAAGTGGCCTGCAGTACTGCACTCTAACTGCTGTGCCACCTCGGCGCAGCAGTTAGAGTGCAGTAATACCCAAATGAGTTATTTTATACAGATCTAGGCAATTCAAGTCTGCTTATAAAGAAGGAAGGAGAAGAGGAGGAGAATAACCGTACATAAGAATCCTTAAAATCAGACATGTAGCACATATAGAAATGGGTAAATAGGTACAGGTGTGTTAATGAAGGCAAGAGACGAAAAGGACATCCAACAGCAAAAAGGATGGACAGTGACAGGGGCAATGAGTACAATGAGAAAATCAGTATATATGGTCACTAGGACTTGAAAATGACTTGATAGAGAGGGAGAGAGAGAAAGAGAGAAAGAGGGGGGAGAGGAAAGGGAGAGGGGGGGGAATAGGAAAGAAAGCATGAGGGGAAAGAGAGAGAAAGAGGGAGAGAGAGAGAGAGAGAGAGAGAGAGAGAGAGAGAGAGAGAGTTCATGCACAGCAACCTCTATTTCTTTTTAATTAAACTCTTCAATCAAGCTTCCCCCCCCCAGTGTTTTCTTTTCTCTGGGAAAGGGGTCCAAGTGGTTCTTTGAGTGTTTAAGATTGCAGACCCCTGCACTAGATATTATCCATCATGGTAGAAGAAAAAAGGGAAAGATCCAGCTCCTATGGCCAGATCCAGATCACTTTGCATTACTGAAGAGAAGGATGCTATGCAAAGGTGCACTTTCCTATAACAATTGCATTACCAAAACTGCCCTTGGTTTTCTACCATCCCGAGGCCCCTTCTTATTAATGCTTACTGGTTAAATTAAACAGAAAGCTGAAGAGTGGGGGTTAGAATTAAGGATTAGGGTTTTATGAAACTACATATTCATATTAGAACTTAACGGTCGAGATTATTTTAAAATAATAATCTGGGACAAATTTCAATTGATCTATTTACAGCAAGGTAAACTATGATTGCCTGTTTATCACTTCCAATCAGGCTACCAGACCTAGAAAAGATGCCTTGAGTTTAAAGGTGAGGGTGAGACTGGGAGGTTGAATTGGTTAACTATTTGTAATAAAATTCCTGCTAGGCAAAAGATTAAACATCTCCTCTTTGTCTAGAGAAGAAATCTCAGGAAAAAAAAATCCCACTTGTTTTGAAAAGTAAAATAGTCTTAACCGCTAACTGTAACTTAGTTTAATAATCTAGCACATATTTGACACTCAGATTAATATTAATTACACAGAAATAGAGGTGGGTGTATCAGAGGCAAAGATATATTTTCAAAGAGTCACCAATTGTACAAGGTGGGTCAAATCAATTATGTTTTGCCTGGTGCTTGAGGATCTCTGTAAAATAAAGACATAGTACATAGAAATGGCCTGTATTACAGAGGTCTTAGACCAAAGGTCTTGCACTTAAATGTAACCACACAACAAGCAGTGGACAATTGTTTTGCCAGCAGGTTTGCTTGTTTCTAGTGAGGGTGACAGATGATTATGACCTATTCAAAGGGAATAACATAGTTCTGCTTTGCACTGGAGGGAAAACATACAGATCATGTTTCTAGTTAGCAGCGCCGACAGCTTTTCTCTTGATGTTCCTTAACAAAATGTGCACCGCTGTAAGAAATACACATTGGCCCACATCATATTTAATATGTTTCACTGTTGAAGTGTTTCATCTCCCGGAATACATTACCAAGATTAATAAAATGAAGAGTTAATCAGTCCACATACCGTTACACATGTAAGGCATGCACTCTTATTACATTATTGTCATTTTAGTAAATTCCTCCTATCTGGTGATTTATATATACTTTATGAGCTATGTATACTTTCACACAGCTAGTGCTTTTCAAACAAGCTTCGCTATAGCCAGATTATGATTACGTTTGACCGTATGCGCAGGATTTAGAGATATCAGTTCTGTGTAACTTTGAAAATAACATTATAACAGATGATACCTAGTAAGCAAGCCCTTTTGCTTCATAGTATTTTCCTATTTATATTGTCTGATGCTGAACTCAAAATTATGGAGTAGTCTAAGTAATCCACTTATTCCTGCTTCTGCATCCATAGACCTGACACCGTTGCGTTGGAAGTTTAAGTGAAGGCTACCTCTTTATACACATCAGTTTGATTCCGAGATTCCTTGGCAATCACCATATATTTGAAGACTACAGAGAAAAATCAAATTGCAGCCTTCCTGTCCACCCTCCAATTGCAATTATTTCCCAATTCTCTTACCTTCCACATTTGACTCTAATGTTGGAAAAAATGTCTTGTTCTCACCAATATTTGACAAGATACTGTTTAAATAGAAGATGTATCGGAAGGCCCTGCAAACATTTGCAGCAGCAATCAACTGAACAAAACCTGAATTACATGCTTAGAGGTGATCTCCCTCCTCATCCCCCTGTTGACAGTGTGAACACAGTATTGTTTCCACAAGGACCAATTATTGATAAACAGAAGATCTGCTCACGCAAGACTATTTTTTAGCACAGAAACAGATTTTTAAAAAAAGAAACCAAATCTTGTGATTTTCATCTTTAAGTGGATGTTTAGATAAAGGTTAACTGTATGTTAAAGATACATTATTAAAGAGGCAGCAAACAATCTGATTGCATTACTTCATCTTAGGATGAAGTAAAGAACTTGGCATTGTCCAGGCAAAAGCTGTGAAGAAATATGAAAAACAACACCTGTCAGCAGCACCAAGAGTTACCTGGTTTTACACTGTAATAAAGCTGATGGAAGTCTGCATGGGTATTACCATGGCTATTGCTAAGGTATCAGTAAATAGACCAGGGGTGTCAAACTCGCAACATCATGTGGCGTGTTGCAACGTATTGCGGTTTTGCCATAACGCACCCGGCCCATGGGCCGGCAGTTTGACACCCCTGAAATAGACCAAGGGGAAAAGAGTTGGGGACATATGGAGATAGAAGGGTAGCCGAATATTAGTTGCTAGATGTCTGTCTTATATACAGGTAATCCTTCACTTACAACTACAATTGAGTCCAAGATTTCTGTTGTCAAGCGAGAGTGGTTAAGTGAGTTTTGCCCCAATTTATGACCTTTCACGTCACGGTTTTTAAGTGAATCACTGTAGTTGTTAAGTTAGTACCATGGGTGTTAGGTGAATCTGGCTTCTCCATTGACTTGTTTGTCAGAAGGTCACAAAAGGAGATCACTTGGCCCTGGGACACTGCAACTGTCATGAGTCAGTTGGCAAGCTTTTGAATTTTGATCACATAGTCAGAAGTGTGAAAAAGTCACTTTTTTCAGTGCTGTTGTAACTTCAGTCACTAAATGAACTGTTGTAAGTCGAGGAGTACCTGTACTACTTATGAGCCTTGCATTAAGCATCCCCTGGTTTCTCTGGGAAAGATACTAGTTTATATGACCCTTTAGTCTGATCCAAAAGGAATCTTATATCTTTTATTATAAAAATTAGTGCCAAAATACACATAAATGCAGCACCAACCTTTGTTATTATACAGTATACACATACCCCAACACACACAACCAATTTACACTTGATAATGTTTATTTGGGATTTAAGTTATTAGAGAACTTCCGATTCAAGTCATAATAGCTACTGAGTGAAGTACTTCACGTGATCGCTCACTTTGTTTCATACCAGAGGCTTTTCATTCTAATTATTATGTTAAAACATTGGAGTGAAAATGGAAATATATTTCAGTTTAGTAAAACTATCTGGAAGTTTAGCCATTCAAAAGAAAAAATGATAAACTATACTTAGTCTAAATATTATTGTTTGAGACAGTCAACATCTGATTAAGAATATCTAATGGGCACAGAAATGGTACCAACAAGAGAGAGCTATTAATTCCCTTTAAGCTGCACTGGGCAGTAGGCATCACGTTCAGAACTATTGACTATCCTTTGGCATTTTGAGCAACTATTATGCAGCAACTAGAAGTGTTCTCTGCTACGTAGGCCAAAGCTAGATTTGAACAGATATCTGAAACGCCTGAGGGGAAAAATATTTATAAAGCATTTCTACATTCATAAACTAGTTGAAGGTCCAATAAGCTTCAATAAAAATAAACCATTTTATATATCCAGCAGTAATAGTTAAAACATTTCCATTCACTATACACAGAATAAAACCATTTATTCTTTGGAAAGATAGTAACTCCTAATAAAAGTACTTGGTCTGAAAACACAAGAAATATAAAGTGTTTTTTTAAAGACCAATATTCATTTTTATCAAGGAAAGGGGTTCTTCTTCTAAAAAGTGTGTATGATTATTTTTCAAAACAACTGCAATAAGGGTAGTATAATTTCCTTCCAATTAATAAAATATTGTATGACAAAGAATTAGGCTTAGAGTTATGAGAGTTTGTTATAGAGAATGAAAGTAATTGAAATGGCAAACAAAAGATTCCTTAGCCTTAAGGTCATATTTTTAAAAAAAACAACATTAAATTTAATATTTGACAAGGTATGTAAGAAACTGTGCTGATTAAAGCCAAATATTCCACTATGACACATAAGCTTACAATTTTTATTTTCAGTCATTAAACTGAATGTTATACAGCCACAGTTTTAAAAACGATTGCTATAGCAATCACCATGGTTTCAATATTCCAAGTATAACCCTATGGCTTATCCCTTGAGATCTCAACCTGGGAAACATGGTCCATATTCATATCATGGGACAATACGAGGGATGATATATATATATATAATTAAACTTATGACAAAAGTATTCTTTCTTAAAAAAAATGCTGGCCATATAAAGATGTCAAGGGAATTTTCAATGTAAGTCAATAAAATATTAAGATTTCTTTTCAGCTGCAGAAACCAAAGATGTAGCAAGGGTTTTATTAGATAGCTTAAATATTATTTAGTTAAAAAAAAAGATTTGTCATTAACTATGCAGAAGCCATATTCAACAAACTATTATGCTAGTGCAGCAATTAACAAACAGAATCATTAGACTGTCATAAGGTTAAAATGTAGGGAAATTTCCTGTAAAGGAAAAAAGATTTAACACCTTTACTGCAACACATTGGACCAATATAATGTAAAGTAGTAACAAATGGATCCAGAGATCAAACAGCAAGCAAGTAAATGCTATTTCTATATTTACTAATCATGTTTTTTTAAAAAAAGCCAGGGAATTTGTAATACTTCTCTTTAGCTATCCCATTTTCTAAAGAGAAATTCTAATTATTTTCTTAAAAAATAAAAAAAATACTGTTTTGAATGTATAGCCATTAAAATATGCAATATCTCAAAGCATATTTCCCATGAAAGATTTCTACAGCTCAGTATTTATAGGTTTTATCACAGGCAAAATTAATCGAGGGAGGGAAGGAGGGAGAGATGGAGGGAGGAAGGAAAGAAGGAAGGAAGGATTACTTTGGCCATAATGGAAGAAAATATTTTTAATTCTATGTATCAGTATCCAAAAAAAAAAAAAAAAAAAAATAAGAGGGGTTTTTATAACCCAACTCAGAGTACATTCATTAAAATAACCCATCTCAAATTTTCTTTTTAAGCAGAACAGAGACAATAAGAGACCTCAAAACCCCAACTCCAGCCCCATTCTTCTTCACAGCCAAGCAACTTGAATGCATGCACATAAACACAAATGAATGAAAAAGTTCTTATCTCTGAAGATCACAGGTGTAATTGAATTCAATAAATAAGTCTCTATTTGGAAATTCTACAGGAAAAAAAAAACATTAACAGTTTAGTCTCTCTTTTTTTCCAATATAGTTTTCTGTTCTTGCTCTCTCTCTGGAAATTCTACAGGACTTTCACTGCTTTCCTCCTCTGGTTCCTCTTCCGTGCCTTCATCAGTTAGATCCCTGCTTGGGGTTTCCTTCTTAGAGGCCTCACTTTCATCTGATCCACCCGAGTCAGCAGTGCAAATCCCGTAACACATGATGCTGATGACACCCAGTGGCAGACCAAACAGAAAGCAACCAAGAAGTGGCGAACTCTTGAAAACGGACTGTAGGGAAATAATTGGCCATCAGTTATATTTTCATAACATACTGAATAACTCAGAGAAGATGATTCCCACCATTTCCCCACGCTTATACATTAACATATTTTAAGAAGAATCAAGGTATGAAGAATGTCATTTGAGTATCTCACAGAAACTTTAATGAAAGAAGTGGGAAGACTGTTGGGCAGTTATTTCTTTGCTAGTATCCTTACACCCTTTTTCTTCCTGCCTCATGACTTACCCTCAGAACTAGCAACATGACCAGAAATAATCCCCAGGAGCTCAAAGAATATGCACACAATGTTCTAAGAAAGGTTTCAGAGAAAGCCTGGGTGTTACTTCCCATTTTTTTCCTTGTTTATACTTGGCCTCATCTACCTTCGGAACTCTTTGTAAAAAGTATAAAGTTTCAAACAGATCCATTTAATTTTTGTTACAGGAATTTGCAGGAATGGCTTTTAAGGCACATGCATGCAAATGTTACTCTTTTGCACTTAAAATTCTGTCAGAATTTATTCCACAAGTGGAGGATGGCCTAAACTTAACATTATTTAATAGTTTAAACCCTATAGAAGAACACAATGTACATATGAAAAACTGTGTTGAGGTCTATACAAAATTGGTCCTATGTCAACTGGTGTTCATGGACATCAACTATCAACATGAATGTATTTATGCGCACTCAACTGAATCAGAAATAATTTGGTATAGTCATAAAAAATAAGCTCAAAGTATATGCATATGTACAAGATAAGAAAGAAATGAAAAGAAAACTATACAATCTGAAAGAAACTAATATCCTTCCTTGTCCAATATAATATGTAGCAGCAAAATTTCCAGCAGCACAACACCCAACTGAACACATTTTAAAAATAATAGAAATGTATATCACTCAGAGAAAGAAAACAAAATTGTAATAGTTAAATGTTATGTTCTTTGTGGGGAGAAACAGACAAAAAAAAAAAGACTGATTTGGAAAAAAGTGTCCACGCTCTATCTGTCAACTATTCATATGTATTATGACAGATTCAGATGCTATCCAATTACTACCAATGACACATTTTATATGTCAACAGGTTTATTTCAAAAACAAGGTGTATTGTAACCAAGACAAATCCAACAAACTTAATAATATGATTGAATAAAACCTTTCCGGATTCATTTCTGTACTTAGCAAGTGGTGCATCTACTTTAACTTGATGGCTATAAATATTTTCTAAGACTTTACTTACTCCCACTGTAGACTTGGCATCGTAAATTATTCTCTTGATTCGTTGAAGAATTCCATCTCCACCATATGCCTGAAATTTGAAAGATAAAAGATTAAAGCAGATCAGCATTATTTATTTCTATTTCAGTTTTCAATTACTTTATTTTACAATGTCATCTTACCAATACTTACTTACAAAAATATTATTTCACTGAAGAGAAATTACTTCATGTAGAGTTGGGGATTCTACTTATTCCTGCAGGGCAATACAGATGGACTCAATGAAGATTCTCACAAGGGTATGATTATACTTAACAGAATAACAGAGTTGGAAGGGACCTTGGAGGTCTTCTAGTCCAACCCCTTGCTCAAACAGGAGATGCTATGCCACTTCAGGCAAGTGATTGTCCAATTTCTTCTTAAAACCTCCAGTGATGGAGAACCCACAATTTCTGAAGGCAAACTGTTCCACTGATTAAATGTTTTAATTGTCAGAAAATTTCTAATTTCTAGATTGGTTCTCTCGATTAGCTTCTTGTCCTGCCTTGAGATGCTTTGGAGAATAGGTTGACCCCCTTTTCTTTGTGGCAGCCCCTTTGATATTAGTTGTAACGGTTTACTCAACAGAAAGCTGGTGTCTTGTCTTCACCAGAATTTGCTTCTATTATTGAAGTTCAAGCAAAGCTATGGGACTATAGGGGATCAAAAGTGAGAAAGGGCTGAATATTACTCCTTTAGGGCTAAGGGCACACTTCATGCCCACAATCCAGTAAAGAAAAGCATACATTAGTTCTGATACATGTAATCCTTGACTTATTATCACAATTAGAACTGGAAAATGCATTGTTAAGTGGTGCAGTTGTTAAAGAGAAGCATCACATGACGGCACCGAGTTTTATGACTTTTTTGGTCCCAGTTGTTAAATGAATTGCCACAGTCATTAAGTGAGACATCACGTGACTGCAATTCATTGCCTTCCCTGCTGGCTTTCTTAGTGACTTTGCTTACGGGAAGCCGGGTGGGAAAGTTACAAATGGTGATCATTTGACCCTGAGAGGCTTCAACCATCGTAAATGTGCAAAAATTGCCAAGCACCAGAAGCACAATCATGTGGCTCTAGGGACAGTCATTAGTGCAAGACTGGTCTTAAGTCACTTTTTTTAGTGCTGTCACAACTTCAAATAGTCACTAAATGAACAGTCGTAAATTGAGGACTCCCTGTAGTTTCCACAAGCTCAAGCCTATGGAACCTCATTAGAGGTTTTTAGAGTGCAGTACTGCAGGCCACTTTAGCTGACTGTGTTCAGCAGGTCAGCGGTTCAAATCTCATTGGCTCAAGGTTGACTCAGCCTTCTATCCTTCTGGGGTAGGTAAAATGAGGACCCAGATTGTTGGGGGCAATGTAAATATATATATACATTGCTTACTGGTGTACACCGCTTAGAGAGTGCTTGCACTTAAAGCGGTATATAAGTCTCATAAATAAATAAATAAATAAATAAATAAATATTTGAAATGGTATAGGGTCTCCTGCCAGAGCAGGGGTTGGACTAGAAGACCTCCAAGGTCCCTTCCAGCTCTATTCTGATTGATTGACCAAGCCACAGCGGATTTCATTCATTCCATGTATAAATAGCAAGTTCTCGATCATTTATAATATTTATGAAGTCAATAGTAATGATCAACAAGCCATTCATTTCAAGTGTTTGGACGGCCACATATAAACTACGGATTAGTCCTGTGGAATAATCCATCGTAAAATAAAGAAAAGAAAAGAATGTAGTTTTTTTCCCCTTCTACTCTTAAAAAGTGGTGCTGGTTGCTGATATGGTGGAACAGGAAGGCAAAAGGTATCTCTGCAGCAGGAGGAATCAAATGGAGAGACCAGCAATCATCTCTCCTCTTGTCCTGCCAGTTTCATAACCACGTTTAAAATATTTATATGCGCCGTTATTTTTTTCTTTTAAAGGTTATACATAAATGTACATTTGGAACCTAAACCTGAGAGAAGATAGTTGTCTGACATATGAGGAAAGTACCAAGATGATGACTGAAGCCAAATTGGAGTGGACCTGTGATAGTCACCACAGACACATTTCAAATAATGAGGTTAGCGACACTCCCAAGATTCTGCTTTGATTTTCAAATAAATATATGTAAAGATACTTCAAGCAAGACAATTCAAATGAAGTAGGATAATTAATGAACTGTTCTCATATTTTGGTAATTTGAACAACTGTTGAGATTTTAAATAAATGTGCAATACTTACTTCAGCTGTGCCTTCCACAATATCATTAATGAACTGGACCAGATCTTCAGTGCTCTCTATTTGTTTATGAGGTAGGAAATATTGTTGATTGGATGTATTTAGGACAGCAATAGTGGGGATTACCAAGTCACTGAAACAGTAAAACCAAACAATTCAGAAACTGAACTATAACTAGTTTCATTAATAAAGCCTTGATGAATGATCACACTCTTACCAAAATAACTAGGAAGAGAAGGGTTTTTCAATCAGATTACTTACAGCTAAATCTTTACGGAATAACACTAGGGACTGATAGGTTGGTTTAATTTATTTCTTATATAAATATAATAATTATGGCTAATTAATCATCCATTTCAAAGGCTCTAAAGTATCCACAGTTCTGTTTAGTGTTTCATTCTATTCAACATCTGCATTAACCTGTTGGGCCAAATGAATCAGGCATTAATTACGCTACAAACTGATGGTACTGCAGTTTTGCAGTTTTAATATTTACCCAATGAATGCCACTGATGAGAAATTAAAGGTATTATAACTGAATTCAGAGAACATTAATGCAGTAGTGAAAACAGTATAGAATACAAAAGACAAAAGCAGCAGTAAGAACTGATAAGGTTCAGTCACAAGCTGTCATTACAACCTATTACTAACTAATTCAGAGACAGGTCTATGTCTTTAATTGTCAATCACAAAAAAACCTCATGTAGCCTTCTGAAGGACATACATGATCTGATGTTGCCGCAGATAGGCACAGTACAAACTCCATAAATACATATAAATGCCAAATCTTTTTAGCTCCTGAAAATTAGTTATTTAATGCTGCCATCTAGTGGAAACACATTTAAATATTTTTTAATGTTTTTGTTATTTTTGTTTAAAGAGTTTAATCGAAAGAAACAAACAACTTTATTCTCTATCTGAAAAAAAATGGTTTTACTTACTCCATTAATAAACTATTAATATATTCATTTCCATCCATATAGCCAAACTGGAAGTTTCTATTAAAAGGCAATTCACAATAATATCCGTTAGACTGATTTGAAATGAATAATGATCTTAATAAACAAACAAAAACATGATAACAACCAATACATTTACTGAAAGGAAAATTCAAAGAGGAAAAGGAAGGAGATTCAATCTTTAGGATAGCAGGAACAGATAAAGAAAACTGATTATCAAACACTATTTACTCAAAACACCCTATGTAATCATTAATAACAAAAACTTGGCTAAGGAAAAAAGCAACTAAGGATTTGGAACGGAAAGAGCTGAAAATGTAGTATTTTATCCTTTCACCTATATGAAATTTTTGTTCTAAAATTTGCTTTACATGCACCCACAAGAATCTTGGAAGCACCAGGATTTGTTCCTGAGCTTCAGAAACCAACTAGGGCAAGTAAAGCTACGGGATACCTCTAAGGTCTTATTCATTTGTCTCATAATTAATTATGAAACTAGGATGAGGCAATCTTACAGAAGAATGTATAGATAATAGCAACATAGAACTCTGTTATACTTTGCACGTAGGTCTCTCTAAATTGCCAAACTATTCTTGAAAGAGCAGTGCAAACTTTTATATTGCACTAAGGATCTAACAGACAGATCCAAAAACTAAAACAAGTAAAAGAATCTTATTACTCATGATCTTACGAAGATAATGACGATTTATATGGCCATCCACACCAGATAAACAACTCTGGGTGTCTAACACAATAAAAGCATCAATACTATAAAGGATAACTAAAACACATAAAGGACAAATGGCCGTCAAGGATAAACCAATTAAAAACAGATACATTTCCTTCATTTCTCCTACACCTAAGATAAAACAGATTTTATGAGCTTCACAAGAGGCCAGCAGGATTAGAGTAATCTAATGGGTCCTGGTTTCCTGACAAATGGCAGGAACTCTTTAATTTAAGGAACTGAGCACACCCCTTTTTTCTAGATCTGATGGATTAGGTAAAACAATTGGAGAGAGACAGTCCTCAAATAACCTGGCCCCATGCTATGAAGGATTTCATAGCTGATAATCAACACCTTGAATTGCACCCAAAAAAACTACTGACAGCCAAATGCAACTCAAGACACAAATGGGACTAACAGTGTAAATGGGCATACTGATCTCCTGATTATTGCTAATTACCAGCCATATGAAAATACAGAAAAATTATATGAAATTAAACCCATTGGTAATACAAAGAGCTTTTTTCTACTGCTTTGATTACTAATTCTATAGTTCTTTATAGGATCTTAGCAGATAGCAGTACTTAGCCTCAAGAATTAATTTATCACAGCTCCTTACTACATATGTACAGGAAGCGAAGGGGAACTTTTGTTTCATGCCCTTAAACAAACTACCATGTCCCAGATCAGCACCCCTCTTTCTCTTCCACAGCTTTCTTTGCAGCATATTCCACTGGTTCACCATTTTCCCAACTTCTATTCCTTTCCTCTTCTTAATTGCTGTTGTATAAGTTCCCATCATATGCCCTTCTTCTCCTAAGCCACCAATAAACTCAAAACATAATAGAGCTACAGACCCACCTATCTCTGTTTTTATTAGGATCTTCTTTTAGTTAACACCACTAATGGCTCAACGTGGCATACCTCAATGATAGATGATAGATAAAGTAAGTATTGTATAACAAAGTGTTAAGATTGTTGAGCTGATTTGTAATTATATGCTGCTGCTGTTTTATGCTCTTCATTTGTTTAATAGACTATTGCATTTTTATGTCGTATATTATTAGTTGAGCTACATTGTAAACATTACATAAAAAAACAATACATTTTGTAGTACCATAGGTACATAATTTTAAATTGCAGAAAACTGCAAATGGTTTAAACTGCAATCCAATCCCTATTTACCTAAATGAAACCACTACACCTAATGGACATTTATTTTTTAACATTAGGATTCCCAAACAAAAATATATTACCTATTAAAAGATCACAGATTTCTGTAAAATCTACCAGAATTGGATATATATGCATGTAACAAAAGATAGAGCTAGATTATAAACATAAAAAATTTAACTTAATTACCTATGAAACTGGTCTCTGTAATTTTTAGCCACATCTTGAACAATAGATTTCAATCTGTAAGATAAAAAAAAATTATTGGCTTTCCGTATCTTTTTAGCTGGTCAAAATATACAAAGGAAATAAAGAATACAAGCATGAAGCCAGCTAATGAGGAATGAACTATATCTGGGCATGACATCTAAATTCCCCTGCAAATCTTTTTTTTAATCAAATCCATTTTATACTTTAATTTCAAATTATAAAGGAAAAAAACTCCACTGTTATGAAATATTAGGAAATATGTGTCAAAGATAAACTTGGTATATCATTTTTTGATTTGAACTGCCTATTCAAGAAAAGAATGCATAAATGGATTTTGAATCCAATTCTTAATAAACATCACGTCCCCAATGTTTCAGGATGCATTTACAAAGAGGTTTTAAGTGGCTGGGGTAATATTACAAATGGCAATATTACAACTAATAGTAATTTTATAAGAAATATGTGATTTATGCAAGAGTTAAATAGTGGTATTTGGTTTTGCAGCCAACAGTACACACTGGTATGCAAGTATGGCAAAATTCAAGAAGTCAGTTGCTATTGAGACAGAATCCTACAATACCTTTTGTTTGAATTTATTTAGTAGCTGTATGGTAATCTGTGTAATAAATCATTCCTTGTGAAACTTTTCAATTTGGAAAATAAATAATCCATTTGGCCAATTCTTCTATTGTTTGGTTCTTCAGCACAGAATATCACTAAATATACTTCTGGGACTCTGGTATAAAAAATAAAAGAACATGAGGTCTGCTTTTTTACGCTGTATTTTACTGGAGCACAAGCTGCTTTGACTATTCCAGCATAGAATTTCAGATAGAATTTTGAGCCAACAGTGACCCTGTTGCTCTGATTTATCTAAAATTCACTCAGAATTGGATTGAATCCAATCTTTCTGAATGCAGGAATTCGAATTAAAGTATCCCAGGAAATCCTGGTAGCCACTGAATGAAACCTCTTTGTGTATCGTCTACACTTGAATTCAAATTCTCTTGTGGTCAGAAAGTATTTTTTCTTAATATTCAATGAAAAGTTGCTTTCCTGCAAATGTAAAACTATTATTTTTTGATCTGCATGCTGCAATGATAGGAAACATTATTGGATCTTTCTTTTGGGTGGCATCTTTTCAAATATTTGAAGAGCGCTGTCGTTATCTTCTCTCCAGCTTCTAAACGCTAAATATTTTTTTCTTCCTTCCACCTCCCTTCTTAGGTTTTTAAGTCCTATCATTATCTTCTTAGACTTAGAATAACAATAAGATTTTGGAGGGGGAGAGGCACTGCTGTTTTTATCCTGGAAAAACCCAAAAGGCAAATGAGGGTTGGAAAGAGAGGCAAGGAGGCACAGGGTGGCAAAGTGAGAGTTATGTTTGGCTCACTTCCATTGGACCCTTTCTTTGAAAAGGGCAGAGGTTGGTAGGTGGGTGGGGAGAATTGCAGCCCCCCTGTGGTCTTAAGTTTGGGCAAGTTGCCAAGTGCCCGAAACTTGATCATGTGAAAATGGGGCCGCTGCAACAGCCATAAATAACATCAGGAATCGGCTGTAAATCCCTTCGTTTAGCACTGCCATAAGTTCAAACGGTTGGTGAACAAATAGTTTTAAGTCAAGAACTACCTATTTTGTTATTTATATTTTAAAGTATTCTTATTATGATAGTTAAATTATGAATATTATATACCAGGAACCCAGGTGGCACAGTGATTAGAATGCAGTAGGAATAGGCTATCTCTGCCCGCAGCCTAGAGTTCAATCCTGATGGGGCTCAAGATTGACCCATCCTTCCATCCTTCCAAAATCGGTAACATGCAGACCCAGATTGTTGGGGACAATGTGCTGATATTTATAAACCACCCAGAGAGTGTTATAAAACACTACGGAGCAGCATGTAAGTCTAACTGCTATTGCTACACAAAGTCAATTATTTTTTTTAGAGTTCAACTTCAGTTTTAAAATAATAATTCATATTTTAAGACAAAACCCCTGGACCTACCTTGCATGATCTGCAGAAGCATTTTTATCATCAATAACTGCAATAGCCACAAGTTTTCCTAAAATAAAGTGAGATGCATAATGCAAATTTGTTTTGATTTATATTCTATCATTATTTTTTACATCAGCAATCAAGGTAGTAATTTTTTTTTTAAAAAAGCAAAATGTAAAAATTTAAAATTACAGATTAAAATTAACAATAAAATAAATCCAAACTTTATTTATGACTGCATTGCGTAGTGGCATGGTTTCTGGTCCCAATTACCATTGGTAAGCCCACACAGAAAAATATTTCTTAGATTTAAGGGGAAAAAAACAGATCAGGAAACTACAGACCAATCAGTCTAACATCAATATCTGGGAAGATCCTGGAAAAGATAATCAAAAACAGATCTGCAAACAACTAGAAGCAAACAAAGTTATAACTAGTAGCCAGCACAGATTTGTTAAAAACAGATCATGCCAAACCAATCTTATTTCATTCTTTGACAAAGTGACTAAATTAGTAGACCAGCGAAACACTGTGAACATAGTATTTGACAAAGGCATTTGACAAAGTAGATCATAACCTGCTGCTTAGTACACTAGAAAAAGGTGGGATAGACAACATCACCACCAGATGGATCTGTAACTGGCTGACAAACTGTACTCAGCAAGTAGTACTCAATGGTATGACATCCACATGGAGAGAAGTAAGCAATGGGGTGCCACAAAGCTCGGTCTTAGGCCCAGTACTCTTTAATATCTTCATAAATGACTTAGACGAGGGAATAGAAGGGGAACTCATCAAATTTGCAGATGACACTAAACTGGCAGGAATAGCCAACACCCCAGAAGACAAGCTCAAGACCCAAAAATATTTTGACAAACTTGAACAGTGGGCCCTATCCAACAAAATGAGTTTTAATGTAGAGAAAAACAAAGTTTTACATTTAGGCAGGAAAAAATCAAAGGTATAAGTACAGATTAGGTGAGACCTGGTTCAAAAACAGCGTGAGAGGGACCTTGGAGTCCTAGTGGATGATCACTTGATTGAGCCAGCAGTGTGCAGCAGCAGCCAAAACAGCTAATACAATCCTGGGTTGTATAAACAGAGGCAAAGACTCAAGATCACGCAAAGTATTAGTACCGCTTTATAAAACCTTACTGGAACCACATCTGGAATACTGCAACCAATTTTGGTCACCATACTACAAAAATATGTTGACATTTTGGAAAAAGTTCAGAGAAGAGCAACTAAGATGATTCAAGACCTGGAGACTAAAACATATGAAGAACGGCTGCAGGACTTGGGTTTGGCCAGTCTAAAGAAAAGAAGAAACAGGGGTGACATGATATCAATATTCCAGTATTTGAGGGGCTGCCACAAAGAAGAGGGCATCAAACTATTCTCCAAAGCACCAGAGGACAGGACAAGAAATAATGGTTGGAAATTAACCAAAGAGAGAAGCAACCTGGAATTAAGGAGAAACTTCCTAACAGTGAGGACAATTAACCAGTGGAACAGCTTGCCTTCAGAAATCGTGGGCGCTCCATCACTGGAGGTTTTTAAGAAGAGACTAGAGAGTCACTTGTCTGAAATGTATAAGTTCTCCTGCTTGAGCAGGGGGCTGGACTAGAAGACCTCCAAGGTCTCTTCCAGCTCTATTCTATTCTATAATTCTAATCTTAATTCCCCAAATAAAGAACACCACACAATTTAATTATATAAACAGAAACAATGGGGAACTTCTTTTCCTTTTCTTTTCTTTTTCTCTAATCACCCACACTTTTACATCATTTTAAAAGTGTTTCCCCCCAAGTATACCCTGAAGAGGCGGACAACCAGATATTCTAGCAGCAATGAATCACAATCCAGTCACAGATCTTCACAGCAACACTGGTCTTTTCTCTCCATATCAACAGTCAAATTTAGAACTGCTCCCACAATATGGCAATCTCTATTTAAATGCCTACTGCTTCAAAATCCACATTCTTCAGAACACTCTACTCTGACTAAACCCAGATGCTTCTAATGGTCCACATAGGAAATAGTATAAGCAAGACAACACTAAGTCACATTGCCTAACGTGCAATTTTGAATATTACAGAATATTCAAAACAGCAGCATGGTGGTGCTTTCTTCCACACTCAGGATAATACATTCAAAAATCAGTGCTTTTTTCCATGGCCAGAAAAGTTGAAATCCCTGTTTCAAACTCAAAACTGTTCACACCCTATGGGAAAAGAATCTGAAGGCAATTGAAGTCATTCTGGATACTAAGAAAAATTGTAGGTATTTAGCATCACAATCCAAAATAAAATGCATACTTAAAACACATTTAGCTACATAGTTCTTTCAGGCACAGCATGCAGAAATTAATAAATAATTATTTTAAATTGACGTTGACATTATAAAGATCTATGTGGCAAGTTGGAAAGGATTCTCATCTTACCTGTGTCTCCAAGCTCATAGAGTGTAAATCCATCTATATTAAGGTACCCTTGAAATCTTTCCCTATTTATCCAGGCTGACAAATCACCATCTACATACTCTTTATGGGGAAAAAGGGAGAAAGTAAGAAAAATGAAAAGATGTACTTAATCAAAAGTTACCTCCTAAGTTCAACCGTATATATTAGAAGCACATAAAGGCCATATACAACAATTCAAAGCTTTGTGCTCCACCAGTGAAAATGAGATATGGACTGGCTTACTGGAAATTGCTGGTGCTATCAAAAATTTGCAAGATTTCAAACTGTCACTAATCATTTAGGAGTCAAGAATGTAAAGCAATATTGCAAATGTAGCCTGCAGGTCAACCCCCTCATTCCAACTGTCAGTCCTCATTCTTATGAGGAAGAGCAGCCCACCTCCCCCATGCCAGACTACACATTCCCATAAAGAAGAGACACACTTGATCACATACAGAGTAAAATATCCTACTTTTTCCTCCCTCCCAAGACTCTAATAAATGGCTGAAATATACTAAGAATCTGAACACCTTTTTTTTGTAGCGATCATTAAGCAAACTGGCGATCATTAAGCAAATGCCATGGTCATTAGTGAACTTTTTTAAAGGAAACAACTGGTCAATATGTACCAAACCAGGCACATTGTTCTACTGCAGCAATTCAAGATTTTGTTTTATTTCTCAGCATGGCATACGTTTCCTGGTGTCTATTCAAGTACTAACTTCACCTGACTTGCTTAGCACACACCAGCCTGCTGCAACCTACACACACATATATTAGCAATTCTCAGGTAATCCACAAATAATCTAACCTAACATTGCACTGCTTCTGAATTTTTTTAAATATGAAAGGACAGTGTGGTACCAAATAAACAAGCTCGTTTTTGAAAAAGAAAAAAAGATAATGTGGATACAAACATTAAGATCCATAAACATCTATCTATGATAAGAGCCGATGAACTTACCATCATACACAAAGTAAGTTCCATCTTTTAAGACTAGAACAGCTGGTATCTCAGGGAGTGTCATATGCTGAAAAAATTGGTAAAAAAAAGCAGAATAGTTTAATGACAAATTGTCTTTACACATTTAGAGTCTATGTTTTTCTATACATAACTATACTTATTGATTTTTTTCATTCCCCAGTTATTAATACTTTAGTAAAGAAAAGTGGCAATAGAAGTAGTCTCTCTGAAGTCTTTACTTTGTCAGCTAAATTTTTTAAAGAAACCCCGAGTTGACTTTATCTAGTGACAGTGTGTGAAAGAACCATTGTTATTTTGAGGAGTTAGAGACATGTTTTTATTTCTCCATCACATTATGAAAAGTCTAGAAGTTTAAAATTTCTTCTGAGTTAGCCTGCTTGTTTCTCTCTCTCGCTTGCTGAAAGTGAAGAGTGAGGAATCTTCACATAGTTTCAAAGCTTTGCCCTCTGTGAAAGTCTTGCTGCCTTTATTTAGTGGTGTGCTTATTATCTCCCAAAGAACCAACTGCCTGAGCACCTGATCATTTCCTTGATGCCTGGCAAAATACTTTATTTTTAATTCATAAATAGTTATAATAGATTTTAAAACATATATTAAACATACATTTCTGGCAGCGGTTTTTCTTCCCTTATTAATCTTTTTAAAGTATTCTTAGTTAAATTATGGATATTATATATATATAAAGTCACTACTTTTTTTAAAAAAAAAAACAAGCAATTTAATGATAAAAATTATGTTATTGTCTGTGTCCCTTCTTTTCCTTCTTCCTCTCATGGATCAAAGAAAAACTAGGCTGATTTTATAACAGAAGAAAAAAGGAATTTTTTTAAAAAAATATTTGCAATGTACCATGAAAGAAGACCCAGATGCGCCTTTTAAAAAGACAATTCAATTCATAAATATTTGCTTACATTGTTCCAGTACTAAATTAAGCAAAGAAACTAGTTTATGCATAACTATTTAAAAAGATGTTTAAATGCCAAGTTAGTGTATACATGTTTAATAAGTTGCTCTTAATAGACAGAAATTCTGCAGAAAAGTATGTTTGGATGTTTTATCGAATTTGGAAATTTGCATCTCAATTCTTTTTCTTATCTCGTTTTTTCATTTTCAAACTCTGAAGATAACAAAAACTACCAGGACCCCAGGCAGAATGATCTCTCGAGCAATGAAGAGCTACGATGATCCCTTGAGTCTGAATCAGGTTTCATAACTTCTCCTCATATAATAAAGCCTGGGGGTATACTAAAGTCACTATAAATACTTTTAACAGAAACAATTCAGCTGTGCTTTCAAACAAAACAATAACAGTTCTTTGCTGCTTATATTAATCATCTTCGTGACAGGATGCCCTTTGTAATTTGCCACATCAAAATATAAATAGAGAAAATGCTTTTAATGAAGATGTACCATGTCTTTATATAATCTGTAATATCAAGTATATGTGAAGGGGTTATAATTTAACTTGCACTAATAAAAGAATATTGTCCTGTTCTTACTAAAGTCATGATTAAAGGTAAAGTGCTTGCCTTCACATGAATTAGCAATGTAAAACATGGATTTTTTCCCCACAAGTTTGCAAGAAAAACATAAAAAGCAGAAAGCAGTCAGAGATACTTAAGTTAGATTGTAAAATATTTCTTTGGGGAGGTGGTAATAAAGATGAATTGTTTTCCAGGCTCAATTTAAGCTGTTCTTCACCTTTAAAATAATGAACTGCTGAAAGCCTGGCTCAGAAATGACTTGTCTCGTGAGCCTACACAGTTAGTAAGATCTGCAAGAAGGCCCTTTGAGGATATTTATTTTTCACAGAGAGCTATTTCTCTAATTCAGACAAAAGGTCATTTGCCTACATTACTTCCAAACCAAGGAAAGTTCTTCTTCAAGGATTAAGATTAGTCTGCCACTTTTTCAACTTCCTAAAAAAAAAATTGGCACTTTTGTTTAATTTGGTATTTTAAATTTTGAGTAGTTTTTTTTTCTCAGTGAAAGTTGTTTTTCTGTATTGTATTGTATTGTTCTGCGAAATGTCCATCTATTCAATAAAATAAGGCTACTATTTTAAAACTAAACAGATCGTGCGGGCAATGTTGGCTGGACTATTCACTTACATTCAGAAATAAACATAAAATTTTGGGTTGTCAGTTAGCAACAAGGATATAATTCCCAATACTTTCATAATAACCCTATGTGCAAAGACAAAGCTCATTTGCATTCCTCATCCTTTACTGTTCTAAGAAAAAGAGAGGCCTAAGTTTTAAATGCATAATTCAACTCTCTAATTGTAATATTTTCATTTACCTAACTTGGATTCACAGGTTGCGATTTGACTAAGCAAAATAAACCAACTACTGTGGCTGAGTGTTGCATAACCACCATCAATACCACAATTAGAACAAACCAATGTAAAAATAAATTAAAATTTAATATGTAAACTTAACAGCCAATGAAGCAAACTTTAGGTTCTATCATGAAAAACAGACAATCAATGGCTGAGTTAATAGTGGGAGGTTTAAATGCTTACTCTACCTGGCATTCATTAAAATTACTATCAATAGTAAGGGGTATATTATCAATGGATAAGAGGTATTTCTCAACACAAGTAAGTATTCAATCAAGTACATCATTATAGTTGTTATTATTTTACCTCGGGTAGTATCTCTTCTGAGGCAGAAAAAAAGTATGTATAAACAATTAGTTCGGAAGCAACTTCTATGTATTTTTCCTGTGAAAATACAAATGGGTAGTTTTAATACATTTCTTGTTTGTTCATAAGCTTTTTTTGGTAACAGAGCAAAATACTATTTTAGTTCAATTTCATGTTTCAACTAATGCAGGTCTTTTTCCACTCCAACTATAGAATTATTTACAAGCGATGACAGATAAATATATCTTTTATATATTTCCCCATTCTTTTGCTAAATCAAAAGACACATCCTTTCTGATATGTTAAGTAAAAACAATCTTATGTTAATTCTTTCATCTTGTATTATTGACATTTATTGTATCTCAGTATAGCAATAAGATAGCCCCACTTCCCCATTTCAATATTATCATAAATACTGCAAGAAACCACAGCATTTCCTTTTTTTTCTTGCATTTTCATAGTGTGAATTGCATATTACAAACTGCCCACCCATTTTAATTTTTCCAAGTCATTAACTCTATAGTGGCCTTTTTCTAGAAGTGAAAAGAAAAAAATGTGGAATTCTGAATGTGGGTGTTCAAGTATTACCCCAGTTTCATGATTTCTATCCAGTTAAATGGAACATAGTCCCTTTGACATTGCTGTTGTAAGTAGATTTCTACCAGTTTGCAAAGTTCTGCAATACAGAACTTTATTAGGAGATAGATATTAAAACCTATAAACTACATGTAAAATGAACAAAACAAATATTTGTGGTTATCAGTGTTTCAGACCTTTAATGGAGATTCCCCACCAATGTACAGAAAAAATATGCGATGTCTTTTTTGAACATGCTCAAACATATGTTGGCTAGGGAGATTTCGAATAATAGGCCTGCAGATTAAAGATAGAGAAAACAACAAAAGATCAACATCAATAGTAAAAGGCAGTGAACTGCTTTTTAAATGCTATTCCAGGGGTCTTCAAATTTGGCCCTTTTATGACTTGTGGATTTCAAATCCCAGAATTCCTCAGCCAGCAAGAGTTGAAGTCCACAAATCATAAAAGGGCCACGTTTGAAGACCCTTGTGCTATTCCTAGAGTTCTTTCATATTTCAGAGGATAAGGATTCCCAACAACCCCACTTTGAATAACATAATTATCCTAAAACTGATACGGTTTTAATTTTTTTAAACTGTATTATTTAAAGCTGGATGAAGACTCCCATGACAATTAAAATGCATGTATATATGAAGGGGGGGACAGAGAAACACAGTGTAAACTTCATATGCTTAAAGATGCTGTTAGTATTTACATTTAAAAGCAAAACATTTTCATTATCAAGGGACAATGCTCAGCAGTTATAGCACTTATAGTACACTTTGTGAAAACTATCAAACTATTCTATGGTTACAGAACCAAAAGACTAGCTTTGAAAATAAAATCTTACCAGAACTCATTGCAGTCCAGAATCTAGAAGTTATTAGCAAATATTTCATCATCCTATCCTATTTTACCACAGTAACTATCTTTTACAACTGCATCATTATTAAAGGCAACATAAAAACATTTGAAGATTTAGTAATGCAATTTCATCACACTATTGCCCATTAGAATGTTTTTTTAAAGAAAAAGGCAAAAGTTTTTAAAGTTTGCTTTCAACTATGTTAAAACAGTAATTGCTACCATCATTTTAAAAGTTCTATGAGTAAACACATCATTGTAATGGAAATGGAGTCAGATACATTAATACTGAATATAGCATATTTTAAAGCTTTAAACTAATATTCTGTTTGTCATACTCAATGGATTATTTATTTCTTTGAATCTTATTTTTAAAATCTTTCATATCCCAGAGGTTAATTAAACTATTCTAAATGGCAACAATAACCTTTCATTTTCATTTATAACCACAAACAGTCATCAGAATAACTAATGCATATAATAGTTGCTTTAAGTTCTCAAATCCTTGTTTAATCACAGTTATAATTATATAAAAAGGATTGGCTTGTACCATGGCAGTTTGTACTCTAGAACAGGGGTCCCCAACCCCCTGGGCCGCGGCCAGTTAGGAACCAGGCCACACAGCTGGAGGCACGCAGTGAGTCTGCAGAGATCTGGGCAGGGGCAGGAGATTGGCAGGGCAGAAGCCGGCTTGCTCAGTGCAAAGGTTCTCCAGCGGGTGCACTTGCAACTGGCTTGCAACATTTGAGCTCAGAGTCCTGCTTCTTATGCTCTCTCTTCTTCTGCCTCCTCCTCCTCCTGCTTCCTCTCTCTCCTGCTGCTTTTTCTTCCTCTTCTTCCTCACTTTCCTCCTCTCCCCTCCCAGCACCCCTTCGTGCAAGTCTCCAAGTCTGCAAGGCAAGTGCGTGCCAGCCCAGCATACGAGGGATTCCCCAAAACCTCATTGGAGGGGGATTCTCCCCCCCTCCAAGGTATGTGCTTGTGAGGGTGCTTTCTCAGGGTGCAAATAGGGGCAAGGAGAAGCTACCTTTCACTTTAAGCACTGCATCTTCAAGGGAATCTGTCATTTGCACACTGAGTTTTTTGCTTTTGTTTTGATGGTGCTGCAAGTGCCTCATGTTTTGGCAATTTCCTGCCTGCTTTTCGTGGTTTAATCTGCAATGAGGAAGGGGAGAGGGGAGAAGCTACATTTCCCCTTAAGCACTGTGTCTCCAAGGGAATACCTCTCTCATCTGCACCTTTTCCAAGGCTGCTGGGCTTGCGCAGTGCCCTCTCCCCCCCCCTTTGATTTGTTTTGCTGGAAGGCTGAGTTTAGGATTGTCTCCTTTCCTTCCCACTTTCTTAGAAGCAGAAAGTCACTGGTGTAATCTAATACAATGTAATAATAATAGAAATAAAGTGTGTTATTTATTTGTTTATCTAGAAAATTTAGAATAAATATAATGAATCATCCTGAAACCTCCCCCGCCCCCAACCCTGGGTCCATGGAAAAATTGTCTTCCATGAAACCAGTCTCTGATGCCAAAAAGGTTGGGGACCTCTGCTCCAGAACATTAAGAGCTATACAAGAAAATGAATGCAAAGGGCTATTAAATAAAACTAAGGAAATGTGGGATTGCAGTGGAGAAAATTACTGTTCCAAATGCCCAAGGAATCATACAAATGTGAAAAATTAAAAAGTTGCCTTTTAATTATCATACTGAGCCAGTTTGGTTGCATGATCTGACATACTCCCAATGTTTTTTAACCCCAGTATTTTCCAATGCAGCTCTTTATTTTACATGCTAGACAGGACTGAGCCCATAAATACTTACCCTGCAACTCTATTTGCAAACTCAATAATATCATCTTTGGTTCTTGGTCCTCTATAATTGTATGCCAAGTCACCCTTCAAGCTAAATAAATAGACATGAAACCAATGAATACATTTAATGCTAGATTTTTTTAGGCTTAATAATAACCAATAAAAGCACTGCATGTGGAATTCAATTATAAGGGATAACCTTAGTGTAGCAATACTATTTTAAAACATACTTTAGGAACAGTAAAGAGAAATGACTCTTCACAAAGTTTCAATTTCCTTTTAGCTAATGCAAAAAAAAAAAAAAAAACCCTGAAAAATTGGCTTAAGTTTTATTACAAATTTGCAAAGCTTTTTCTGAGAAACAAAGTGAGACATTATAAAGCACATATATTGTAATACAGGAAACACAATATTCAACTTACAGTTTAATTGTTGGATAGCCTCGAACTCCAAATTCAGAGGCAATGCCTACCAAAGGAAGCAAAATAAAACAGGCAAAAATGAAAAATTTGAGCATGTGATTTTTCTTTGACAAATTCATATATTCCAAACTATACTAGTATAGGAAGCAACTATAATACAGAACAGGAATTATAAACTTAAAAAGTATTCTTTTACTGAGTAACTGATTTAGACAATTAATATGCTGCACTAAGTTTTTAATTACCAATATTTTGGAGCGATAGCTAATTGAGCTTTTGTTAGTTTCCAAAATTATAAATTATATAACATGGGAATATATTGGCAGAAAACTTACTAGAATAAGAAGTTGCATCCATCTTGCCAATCTTTACTGGAGACCCAATACTTCCCATCTCTTTACCAACTTCATTCCACACTGGCTCCAATTTCTTGCAATGGCCGCACCAAGGTGCATAGAACTATGAACAAACCATAACCATTCAGAATTTAACCTACAAATAAAGAATGGCAGTTTCCTATTTGTTCCTTTAAAAATGCTTTTTGTTAGAAGGACACTACCAAAACTTTTTTTTTTTTTTTGGAAGTGCAGTAGCAAGATACTTGATCTTACTATGCAAGATAATACATAAGCAAAGTAAAGTTGTAAATGTAAACATAGACAATCTGTAGATCATCTCAGTATGGAAAGTATATAATAATTAACAATACCTTCTTTCTCCCTTTCTTCTCTTCCCTACTTCCCTCTTCTTCCTCTCCTCTCCTTCACCACTCTCCTCCCCTTTCCTCTTCCTCCAACCTTCCTACTTCCTTCTCCCCTCCTTTACTCTTTTCTCTCTCCTCTCCTTTCTTCATCCCTCTTCAGATACAATTCAGGGGTAATGTCTGAGCAACTCCTCTCTCCAAATTTCCCTATCTGTATTATATACAATAAAATACTTCTATTTATCTAACCTTCTCGGTATATACTTCTATAAACATTTATACAGCCTGCAGTTATTCAATACTGTGTCGCCTGGGTCTCCCTCCTTATCTGCTCCTTCTTCTTCCATCTAAATTGATGTTAACTATCTTTTAACTGTATTCTCTTTTCAGCCAATCATAAAAAGTTCCCCAAATTTCATAGTAGTCTGTTATCTTTAATTGTCATTGTTAGTCTATTCATTTCTGCACATTCCAATATTTTCCCAATCACCTCTCCCTCTGGGGGGGCTTTCAGTGCTTTCCAATTTTGTGCAAACACAATCCTGGCTGCCGTAATTACATGAATAATTAAATATGTTTTTTTCTTTATTGTATTTCTCTGGTAGAATACCCAACAGGAATATTTCTGGTCTTAGTTCTATACGTTGTTGTATCATCTTTTCTATCCATGTTCTAATTATATTCCAATAAGTTTTAGCTTCTAAAAAAGAAACACTGCACATTTAGTGCAAAAAAAATAATAATAATTAACAATAGCATACCAGATCTTCCAACAAGAACTTCTAAACCACTGCTTCACAGGCAACACTACAGTGCTAATCTATATCAGATTCTCTTGATTTATAAAATCAACTCTTAATCAGAATAAATGTACTGCATTTCTAAAATTAATAAAGCAACAGCCAATCACTTCCATATTTGCCAAAGAAAACTACATGACCATGACTATGAGCCATTAAGAATTGAGTTTCATTGAAATGAGTTTTTATTGTTAATTGAATGTTCTGCTTTTGAAAAGGATAGGCTACTCAGAGAAGAACTGTAAAAAAAAAAAATAAAGCAAATTATATTTAAAAGATTTAACAACTCTGTTACTCACATCAACAAGCCAAATGTCATCTTTACGTTTCTCTTTAAACCTATAAAAGATTCATAACCAGTAAACATTCTTACTAAATTTAGATATTTGTCTAAATATTTACATTAAGTCATAACAAAATGATGAGTGAGAAATCACCTTTTTAAACACAAAGATTTCACAGAATTTGGTATTGATTAGAACATCATTTTGTGTACTTTACAGCTATGAACATTTTCTGGAAAATTTGATGGGCAAAGCATCTCTCGGCAAATAATTAAAGCAGCTATGTCTTTTTTCAGGCTTGCATGGCTGCTTTCAAAGTTTTAGCAGGCCTCACAACCATTTTACTTTGCTTTTTTTCCATTCCTGTGCATTGAAAATGATCTCTTTCAAAGGACTTACACAAACTTACTGTGTAATATGGATTATAACCCTAATACATAACTACAATTCAGTAGGCACTATGCAACAATATAAATAACATGAAATGAAGAGACTGTTTACAAATCATATTATTCCTAAAGAGTTAGACATATCACAGAACTTGGTTTTCCCTCACTATTGTAAATGTAAAACACAAAAAGATAATCTTAAAAATAAAACGGGTAGCACTTCCCACATCTAGTTTTAGGAATAGGCTATCCACCAAGAGAACCAAACAATCTCAGTGCCACATCCTGGGTCAATAATAGAAATATAGAATAACATGGTCCAATGGGACCTTATAGAATATTTATTCAAATTCTCTATCCAATACAGGAATGATATTATTTTTGAGATCTTGTTTATGGAGCTGCTATTAAAATAAAATCTGTCAAGTCTCATGTGCTGGAATTTTTAGATTTCTGACTAAAACTGTGACTCCTGCAAAGTCTTAAGCTTCTGATTTAAAACTTTTGAAATTTGTTTATAGACCAAAAGGAAGGGTTTTTTTTTCTTTTGAAGCAAATAACTAATTTCACTAATTCCATTGTATTTGTTTCAAAAGAGCCACAATGACCATAACTTGTAACAAAACAGAAAAAAATGTGAATATTTATATATAACAAAGATTACTGGTATCATCATATATAAATTAAAGGTTTTAAGATTTTTTTGTAGTTAAGAATAGTTAGGTAATATGATCAACTTTAATTTACACACTATAGAAAAGTACATTTTTAAGCAAACCCTTAAGCAAAAAAAAAGGCCATTTTAAAACAAGCAATTACGTGGCCTCTCTTTTATATTTGTGATCTACAATGTATTAATATACAAGAAGAAAAGGATGCTTAATGGATATTTGTCATTCCATAAAGGCACAGTAAAACATAAATCTCTAAATTCGTAATTTGTGTAAATGCTACATACTTACGATTCATCTAAGTCTTCCACAAACAATGCATCTATGGCAAGTATAAATGTAGTAAATGCTGGAAGAAAAAGTTGGCAGAAGAAAAAAATAGAATATAATGTGTCTTATCTCATATACACTAAAGCCTACACATTCATTTTCTTCCCAAGCCATTTCTACTCCAAAATGCTACAGGAACAATTTTCCTCCAATTCCCTTAACTTCTCATAAGGTAGTCCTCGACTTACAACAGTGCATTTAGTGACCGTTCAATGTTACAACAGCACTGAAAAAAGTAACTATGACCATTTTTCACACTTACAACCTTTGTAGCAGCCTCATGATCATGAGATCAAAATTCAGATGCTTAGCAACTGGTTCATATTTATGACCACTGCTGTGTCCCAAGATCATGTGATCCCCTTTTGAGACCTTTCGGCAAGCAAAACCAATGGGGAAGCCAGATTCCCTTAACAACCGTGTTACTAAGTTATCAACTGCAGGGATTCACTTAACAACGGTGGCAAGAAAGATCATAAAATGGGGCAAACTCACTTAACCAACGCCTCACTTAACAACAGAAATTTTGGGCTCAATTGTGGTCGCCAGTCAAGGACCACCTGTACATTTCAAGACAGCCTTCTTTTAATTTAGGATTTGTAGGGAGAAAGTTGGCTCCATGCTTCTTAGAACAAGCAGCAAGATGCAAGCAGCTTTTTTCTTTCAGACCAGTGGCCAGAGCCTCAATCCCTCTCCATATCTCTCAACCCAAATGGCAGAGAGAGACAGATGCCTATCCCCCAAGAAAGGGATAGATAGTTCGCCTAAAATGTAATCCATTCGAGAGGGAGAGGGAGAGAGAAAAAAAGAAAGTTAAGTCCAGGGCTTGTTGCCAGTATTTACAACCACATACGCGGATCCCTTCGGACATCTATTATTTGAAGGGGGGGAGTCCTATACCCAAAAGGGGGCCAACACACACCCCCCCAGGGCCCTGTTCTGACTTCCACTTGAGGCTACGTACTTCCGCGGCAGATCTGTATTATTCAGAGTTGAACTCGTCTCTCCCCTCCACCCCCGCCTTCAATCCGCTTCCTGCAGCATCAATCGATGCTCGGGGCCATTTCCTCGTCCCTTTGCCTCCTTTCCAAGAGAGGTGACGGAAGGCAGCGGAAGGGCGGAGGGGGGGGCTTTCTTCCTCCCATTCCTCTTCGCAACTCCCCCCCTCGCATTTTCCGGCGTCTCCGCACACCTCCCCCCCCCCATACAAACCACCACCATCCCAGCCCTCTTCAGCAGCTTTAGACACTTCCTGCGCTCCGGCCAACTCTTCACCGCCCGGGACACTGCCCTCGCCTTCTCAAGCTCATCCGCGGCAATTGTACCTGTTGCCCAAAACAAGCCCAACCGCTCTTTCCTCACTGCCCCCATCCTGACAGGAGCCGGTAGACAGAGGGAACCATCAGCCGGAAGGGGAAACGGGATTTCTCCCACCCCGGTTTTGCCTTTCGGAGCATGCGCACAGTTGCCGCGGCGGCGGCGGCCACAGCGGCCTGCGCGATTGTTTAGTTTGTTTGAAAGTGGGCGGAGCAGTTGCTAGGCGATGCCCCGACAATAGCTCGGAGTTATGCCTTGTTGTTGCGGTGGGGGGGAGGTGTCTTCTGGTGTGTTGGTCTGTTTCTGGCTCTTCTGGCAGTTTAGTGCAGTATTAGAGGAATTATTTCAGGCACCACGGAAAAGAAATGCTCTTGTCGGCCATTATCATTTTCCTGAAAGCTGCAATGACAAAAAAATTAAAGAGTTCCCTCTTTTCTACCCTAGTTGCAAGTTCTGATCTGATGAACAGGGCCGATGACAAAACATCTGAATGTCAAAATTTCTGGCCGAGTGGAAATGCTGGGATTAAGCTAGTTGTTGCAACACCTTGGTTTGTGGAAAAAATACACGTTATCCCTTTCTTGAATAAAATGTTGGGAAAAATAAGGGACAAATTCCCTCTTCAAGCCGAAATACATAGCCAATATATTCTTATTATGCTGATTGCTTAATTAGGTGAGGATCAACAATATTTTATTTGGTTCTCCATAATAATTAGGTTAGAAGGATCAATGATGTAGATGACAGAATTCCAGTTTTGTTTTACAAATAAAATAAAGACTAGTTGAAACAGTTTCAAGTCCAGACTTTAAATTGTCTTCAAGTATGTCACTATTTCTGACATACTTATCTACCTTTTGTTTCCATTCTGGTGTGACACAGTTAGAAAAATGATCACCCAGTTATTATATTGCAAGATGATTTTTGTCATTTTTCACCCCCAACTATTTTAGTTCTAGATGCCAAAATAGTTTTCCGTGCACACCCAACATTATTTTTTAAGGTAAAGATGAATTTTCCCAACCACTTTTTGGGAGTTTTAATATAGTCTTTGGAAAGATACAATCATGCATAAAATTTCAATTTAATAATTTGAAGTTGGATGGTGGAATTTTCTTAATATGGTAGCACAGTACTACCCATTTTTTATTTCAGAAATCATTAGACACAAATTTTCAAATTCCATTCACATTCCATAACTTTTTATTAGATACATGTCCCACCTTTCCTTAAAGCAGCGGTTCTCAACCTATGGGTCGCGACCCCATTTGGGGTCTATCGACCATTTTGCGGGGGTCGCAAAACAACGCGATCCGCCATTTCCCCCCCCAGGGGGCGGGGTCGCCATCACACGAAGATTGAGAATCGCTGCCTTAAAGAATATACACAGCCTTCTGTTTTTCCTCTCAAAATTGCATACTTTTTATATGTATATTTTCAATATTGCAATTTTTGTTTAATACTTATAAAAAAACTTGCTAGAACTCTTTAAATTTTCCTTGTGTTCTTTAAAGGTTCTTTACTGTTGTATTCATAATACCGTCCCACAATCTAACAAGAAATAGTTATAACATAATTACAAAATTGTTTGCTACTCAGTATTATACAAATGGCTATAAAATATTTTTTTGTCTAAAAAAACCCACATTATATATATGCCTAGAATAGAAAAGAGCTGGAAGGGACTTTGGAGGTTTTCTAATCCAGCCCCCTGCTCAAGCAGGAGAACCTATACCATTTCAGACAAGTGACTGTCTAGTGTCTCTTCTTAAAAACTTCCATTGATGGAGTACCCACGATTTCTGAAGGCAAATTGTTCCATTGGTTAATTGTCCTTACTGTTAATTCCAGGTTGCTTCTATCTTTGGTCAGTTTCCAACCATTGTTTCTTGTCCTACCCTCTGGTACTCTGGAGAATAATTTGACCCCGTCTTCTTTGTGGCAGCCCCTCAAATACTGGAATACTGCTATCAGGTCACCCCTATATCTTCTTGTCTTTAGACAAGCCAAACCCAAGTCCTGCAGCCGTTCTTCATATGTTTTAGTCTCTCTAGGCCTTTGATCATTTTAGTTGATCTCTGAACTTTTTCCAAAGTCTCAACATCTTTTTTGTAGTATGGTGGCCAAAACTGGTTACATATTCCAGGTGTGATCTTACTAAGATTTATAAAGCAGTACTAATACTTTGTGTGATCTTGATTCTATGCCTCTGCTTATACAACCCAGGATTGTATTAGCTTTTTTGGCTGCTGCTGCACATTGTTGGCTCATAGTCAAGTGATCATCCACTAGGACTCCAAGGTCCCTCTCACAGTTACTATTTTTGAACCAAGTTTCCCCTAGAATAAAACCATATTCATAGAACACCCCACCACCACATGAATGCTTCATTCCCCAGTTGAGGCTGTCAAAATATTGTTTCCTGTTGCAGGGGTCCCCAACCCCCAGTCTGTGGACTAGAACCAGGCTACGGCATGCCAGCAACCGGTCTGCACAAACAAGGAAACCCCCATCCACAGGATGCAGGCAGCACACAAAACCACACCCCCTCCAGTCCGCAGAAAAATCTCCCTCCGTGTAACTGGTCCCTGGTGCCCAAAAGGTTGGGGACCTCTGTCCTTTTGTACATATAGTAGCTCAACTTTGTATCAATACTCTTAAACATTTATGTTTCTCTGATTATATCTTTTTTTCCATTCTTTCCTAATCACACTAAGCAATCATACATTGCTTAAATTGTTGGTAATCAAGATACATACAATCTGAGATATTCTAAAGCAAATTACTGTTTTCAAATGTGTTGTATTTTATTCCTCTAGCTCTATCACCAGGACTTTTATTTCTCTGTTCTTTATGTTAGGCTGACATCTTGTGGTAATAACTGCATTATGGTTAAAAAGAAATCTTCATGTTCTCCTACTGTAATTGCTTCATACTTTGTCACTGATAATTGATTTTGTGGATTATCAATTGTCAATTATCAATCAACTGACCACAGACTATTCCTTTTTTTTTTGTGCTTCATCTCAACAAACTACACAGCAGAAGAGTTTGTGGAAATCAGACAAATAGACGCTACAGTGGTCTTTGAGTTATAACCATAATTGAGCCAGAATTTACACTTGTAAGCTATGCCGGTCATTAAGCATATCATCATGTGACTGACCCAATTTTTCAACACATTTTGTAACAGTTGTTAAGTGAATCGCCATGGTCATTAAGTGAATCATCATGGTCATTAAGTGAATCCACAGTCATTAAGCAAAACCATTGTCTGCAATGAGTGTTTTTGCCAGAAATCTGGAGCAAACACACAGATTTCTGGTAAAAAAAAAAAAGCATTGTAAATTGTGGTCATGTGACTCCAGGATGCTGCAGAAGGTCATAAATACAGGCTGGTTGCTGATGCTCAAAATGTGATCACTTGAACGGAGGGGTAGCAGCCACTAGAACTTTGAATCTGGGTCATAAGTACCTTTGTAACTCCATTGTAACTTCAAATGGTCACTAAGCAACCAGTCGTAAATTGTGAGCTACCTATAATTTGCACACAATTATATTTTAATGTTTGTGAAATCCCTTCTTCCTCTTCCCTTCTGCCCCAGTAGGTCATATTTTTACCTACTGATTACACCATTATGGTTTAAGGGAAAATAATTTTACAAATGTGTTTAATGATGAATTAAAGTGATTTATGGACCAATAGCAATTGTGGCATTTTAGCTAAATGGATTTGCTAATTTCTGTTTAATGGAATAGCTATCAACACACTGTGCTATCAAACTTAATCTGCAAGAGATGTGTTCTAAAAAACATAAATACTGTGTCTTGACAATGGTGATGGTGTTTTTTAATGTATTTTCAGGGATATACTTCAGATTATATACTAGTTTATTATGTTATAGTTTTCAGTAAGATTATAATGGCAAGCAAATTTGGCAGGCAGTTTTCCTCTTAAAGCAACATTAAACTAATGTTTTATTTATTCATTATGCAGTTATTCATTGAAATGACGAACACATTTTTACATATGTCTTCATTTTTATATATTTCTGTATATACAGTAGAAAACCTGTCATAGCCCATAGTAGCATACATCAGTAGACGTAAATAAGTTTTAGGTAAAGTGATTAGAACTGATGTGCTTCATGCCACCATTAGGTAATATCAGAGTCTGCATTTAATGGTCCTAAAGGGGAAGAAGGTATGTTTAGATAACAAATGTACACCACATACAATAAGCTCATACAGGTCTGGCTGCATTCAAATATAAAAAACCAGCTTAGGATTTAATTCTAGTGAAATCAGTTTATTTCAAAATATGTACATTCATTTCAGCCAATTTTAAATTAGTTGAATTAAGACAAAATGGATACATAGAGACAATATAACTAGAGTTCAGGTTAATTATGAATAACTGATTTATCTATGGTTCACCAAGGAGTAACCTTCATGTTCTTTCTCCAGGCTGTAGCCACAAAGATCCCTGTGGCAGTGGAAAGCACTTTCACTTTAAAAATGCATATCTGCATTTAAAAACAAACAAGCAGAAGAAACATAACAACCAATTAGGCCTGAAACAATTATTTGCAGAGACTAATGTTTTGTTTGGCTCAGTTTATAATTGTACACTCCCATATATTCTTAAGGAATGCAGCCAAGATGGGTATAGCAGAAATTTGCAGCAAAAATGCATCTCTGCTTTGTAATAATTCCTGCATCCATTCTATGTTTAGAATCCAAGGAGGGAACTACTGTTTAATTTCCCTCCTGAGGGCTCTTCTTCATGATCATGTTAATATGTGTTCCTCAAATTCTTGAGCTGGGCAGAAGGCTATGTTTCCTTAACTTGTACTTCCCAAACGTGTCTCTTTCAAACACTTGTCCTTACAGCTTTACTGCAGGATAATTTAAGAGCAAATATTAGTAGATTCTCCTGTTTTTGTTTTTCCTCCTGTCCAACATCAAGGATCTTACAAAACTAGCCACCATAATCTATACTACTTCACATTTAACACATACATTTGTGGAAATATTATGTATCAATGTAGCAGTGTAAATTGTTTATATTTATTAATGTTCTTCTGTTAAGAGATATTTTAGCCCTCAATAATGAATAGGTAGTGATTAAGATCCTAAATTGTTGATAAAACACATTTCCAA